GGTTTCGAACTCTGGGCGGCCTCAAGAGCATGGGCTCGGCCCTTAGACTTGCGCTTCACGCCGCTTGCAAATCCGCAAACCATGGCTGCGAAATAAAGATAAGGGTCAACACAAGGTTAGAGGAAAAAGGGGGGAGGCAAGCTCGGCATACCAAGTTCGGAGTTCGGCCTTGAGGATTCRATGGGACGAACTGCRGGGTTGTAATCTAGYAGYCCGGACTCRAGCAGCAGTTCGTCAGTCACTAGGGTTCCGACCTTCCTACCCCTCRGAAAGCGCTCCTTGTAGTATTTCAGCGTATCGAAGGAGGCTTGCGTAAGCTCAGGGACTGGTCGGATTGAAACTGCACGAAGACAAAATCCGAGTTAGACCTGAATGACAGAAGAAAATTACGAAAAGTAAGAGCTATTCCGTACCTAGGTTCCCAAACCTAGTGGGGACGTCAAAGAAGGAACAACCTGATTCGTCCTTCGCGAGCCATTCCCCGGAAGCGTAGAACCACTTCCTCACCCATCCCTTGATGGAGGTCGGCCCCTTAACTATACCGCCTGCGCCTTTCCTTGCGCACATATAGAACCAACCAGGCTTCTTAGCTATCCTCTTCGCCTCGAAGCACGCGAGGAGCTGGTCTACGTCCAACAGCTCGGCCTCCTCACTATCCCGAGCTTGTAGCCAAAAGAGGATGGCCAGGGCGAAAATGACACCCCACCCATTGGGGGCCACTTGAGCCGGAGCCAACCTAGTCCGGAAGAGAAGTTCTTGGACAAAAGGGTGAAGGGGAAGTATGAGGCCGTACTCAAACATTTTGAAGTAGAGAGTGACTCATCCCTCTGGAGGATTGTCAGCTCTCTCCCCCTCCTCCGGAAGCCTGAGGAGGATGTTCTCAGGGATAGCGAACCCCCTACGAAGGGATCCGAGGTAGTGCTCAGGTATCCTAGAAGGGTATTCCAAGCCCTGACGTGAAGTGGAGGCGTCACTATCCTCCCCGTCATCGGAGATTCTAAAGTTTTCTATCTCCTCGAGCTCGGACTCTAACCTACGAGCTAACTCGGATCCTAGGTTGCTACTAATAGAGGACGACATGGCAATTACGTTCGAAAGAAAGAGGGAAGAGACCGACCTACCAAGGGTTCGAGCTGCCTTCAGATCGAACTCYAAGAATTCAAGRAACGTAAGGTATGAACTGAAGGATTGGGGGCATTTATAGCCCGTCGGAGGAATTTCCCCACCGTACACGTGTAATCAACGAGCGGCTAGGATCCTCTCTGAGATCCGAAGCGTCGGAATATTTGAATATTCCGACGATAAATCTTCCGCGACGGTTGTATTTTCCCACGAATAGGAAGTCGCCACGTGTCCAAAGCAAGTCGAATGAACTTCTCTGCCAGGTCGAGATCGGACCAGACAGAGAGGGGGCCAATGTTTGGGGATGAAAATACCCTGGACACGTGGAAGACCCCTATTGGTACTCCAAGGTGGCCCACGAGTCATGCCCAGCTCGGAGAGCCGAGATGGCAGCCACCAACGCCGACGAAAGCTTAAGTATGAGGGCCGAGGTGAACCTGGCC